ACAAGAGGAAGACATCAGCATCGGAATTCGCATTCCACACCCAGCGACGCTACAACAACAATAACCGACAGCAACAACCGAAGCCCGTACCTCCGTTCTGTCACATCTGCAAGACGTCAGGGCACCCGCGCACGCACTGCCCGAATCGACAACAGTCAACACCACCGCAGCGGCAGCTTCGACCGTCAAGCAGCCAAGTCGCTTCACAAGCAAATCCCACGACCCAAGTCCAAACCCCAACAACACAAACGGGACAACCTGCACAAGGATCAAGAAATATTGTCAGTTGCATGGCACGACTGAGCGAATCTTGCATCACCGAGTCACCACCGTACTACTCACCGGAAGAACAAGTCGACAACGCCACACCTCAACGCGAGTCACTTCAGCCGAACCCGACATACGCAGCCATCGCTCAAAGCGAGCCATCCGGGAAGGACACGTGGTTCTTGGACAGTTGCTGCGGACAGCACATGTGTTCTTCAGGACGCTTCGTGCAGCGAGAGTATCAACTTCAACGCGAAGTAGTCATCACCGTCGCCAACAATCAGAACCTGCGCACACGACGACAAGGAGTGGTACAACTTCAGTCGCGAGAAACAAATGTCATCCTACAGATGTCCAAGGTCTTAATCGCAGAAGGCCTCGGCTACAACTTACTGAGCGTCAGCCAGTTGATGGCGAAGGGCATTCATCTTGAAGCAGACAGCACCACCCAAGAGTTCAAGCTGTACCACGGGAAGGGCGGCCTTTACATCGGAAAGGCAATCTTGAAGAACAACGTCTTCGTTCTTGATTTTGTTCGAAATCTCGGCACAGCAGACAGCGACGGCATCGTCACCTTCACTTCCTGGACCCACCCTCCAGATCTTGATCCAGACTTCAGCCCCGGCGGCTTCTGGCACTCACACACCATTCCTGAAGCAGAGAGAACAAGGGCGTTAGCAACAATTCAACATTCGGCAGCAGCAGAAACAACATCGGCAGCAGCAGAGACAACATCGGCAGCAGCAGAAACAACATCGGCAGCAGCAGAGACAACATCGGCAGCAGCAGAGACAACATCGACAGCAGCAGAGACAACATCGGCAACAGCAGAGACAACATCGGCAGCAGCAGAGACAACATCGACAGCAGCAGAGACAACAACGGGAGCAGCAGAAACGTCAACACCAGTCGCTGGTCCTTCAACGGCACCGCCCTTCATCGACGACACGCCACCGACACCCGCACAACAACTCAATCCGACATGACGAGAAGTCCACCGAAGCGCCAACTTCACCGCCAGCTTCTACTCCAACTCCGACATGTACCGACGCTCGCCCGGACACCGCGCCAGCGAAAGTACCTGGCACGCAAGGATGGGACATCCAAGCAACACAGTATTAAACAACACAATAGGAGAAGGCGTGCTCGACAAAGACTCACTTCTACTGACCGACGGCAGAGAACTTCAGCGAGCCCGTGGAACGTGCTTCACCTGTCCTGAAGCTGACTTACCGCATCAGCCGTTCGTCTCGCATCACAATCCAAGCGCACCTGCATACGCACCACTCGAGAAGGTGTACAGCGACATCCTATACAACCGTGAGCCTGTACAGAACGCATACAACTATACCATCACGTTCATCAACGCCGCGACACGTTACGTTTGGCACCTGAATCTCCCAAGCAAGGATATGGCGTTCGAAGCGTTCGTCGCCTGGCTCCCTGTAGCAGAAAGAGAATCGGGCGTAAAACTGAAAAGCTTCCAGTCAGACGGGGGAGGAGAATACACCTCACAGAGGTTCAAGCAGTACTTGGCAGAGAGGGGAATCAAGCGGCTCATCTCCCTTCCCTACGCCCATCAACAGCAAGGTGTAGCAGAAAGGATGAACAGGACCCTCCAGAACACCATGCGCAAGCTGCTACGTGGCATGCACCTGCCCAACCACCAGTGGCCCGAAGCAATGGACCACGCCGTCATGCTGCACAACTTGCTCTCGTCATCATCGCTCCCGAACAACGCATCACCGCATCTGCTGTGGACAGGAAAATTGGGCAGCACAAAAATGTTGAGAGTTTTCGGCTGCATGGTACAGTACCGACCCCCATCTGCACGAGCCGGCCGATTCTCTCAACGCGCACAGTGGGGAGTACACCTGGGCATCGAGAAGCACTACAACGCATGGAAAATTTTTGACGTCGAGACAAAGGAAACAGTGGCAGCACGTGATGTCATTTTCTACGAGAACCTCACCCTTCGATACTACCTCGCCAACTTGCAAGAAGGAAATCCCGACCGCAGCGATGGTTTTCGTGGAGACCGAGCCTTCGCCTCGGCAGCCGACGAAGCCAACTGGGACGAGCAGAATGTGGACGGAGCCTCGGAAGAAGCCGGACCTCTCCCCTACTGCTCCGTTGACATCCTGATGGATGACGAAAATCCTCGCGAAAGCATCAACGCCGAAGTCTACTACGACTTCGCCGACAACGGTTACGTTACACCTGCTGAAGTCAACACCAACGAAGCAGAACGCGTAGGACCCAACTTCGCACCTGATCCAGAAGCTGGAGACGAAGCAGTTTATCCCGAGGACACCACACTCCCCCGCTACACACAGAGCGGACTCCAGATACTCGGGCTCGTCACCGCAGTCCACGGCGCAGCCATTCCTAAGGAGCCTGCGACGGTTCAACAGGCTCTGGGGGGGGAGCATAGGGAAAAATGGCGCGAAGCCATGGACAGGGAGCTGAAGGCATTAGAGGAGCGCAACACGTGGAAAATAGTTCCTATCGGCGTAGCACGGAACAAGACCATTCTCACCGGAAAATGGGTCTTCCGTGTAAAGACAAAACTGACGGCACCATCGACAAATTCAAAGCGCGCTGGGTCGTACGCGGCTTCGACCAAGAACACGGACGCGACTTCACCGAAACATTCGCTCCGGTCAGCCGACACACCTCACTACGCATTCTCCTCGCGATCGCCGCCATGAAGAAGAAGAAGCTGCGGCAAATCGACGTCGCGAACGCATTCCTCTACGCACCTGTCGACGCAGAGATCTTCGTGGAGCTACCACACGGCTCCAGCACGGACTCCACACACGTCTGCCAGCTACTCAAGTCGCTCTACGGCATCAAACAACCCCCGCGGCTATGGCAACAGTACCTGCACGCTCGCCTCATTCGCATCGGCTTCAAGCAACTACCGCACGATCAGGGGATGTACCGGCTCACGAAATGCACAGATTACATCCTGCTAATCGTCTACGTAGACGATCTCCTCTACATCGGCTCAACCGACAGCGTCACTACCTGGTTCGAAGGGGAGCTGCAGCAGGATCTCACGCTCACGGTCTCATCTACCGTCACACAGTACCTAGGCCTCAACATCCGAGAAGAAGACGACGCGATCTACCTCAGCGCCGCGAAGTACGCCGACACCATCGCCAAACGCTTCGCTCTCATGCCGACCGCCATCTCCACGCCATACCGCCACACGACAGGAAGCGACAAGAGAGGATCCGCTCTACTCAAGCCCGCCGGCATACGCGACTACCAGAGGAAGCTGGGATGCCTCCTCTTTGCAGCTGTTACCTGCCGTCCTGACCTTTCATACTCCGCAAGCCAGCTCGCCACCTACCTCAAGAAGCCCGAAGCAGAGCATCTGGCGGAACTCGACCGCGCTCTTCACTACCTCGTCAGCACCCCGACGATCGGCCTAACTTACTATAAGAACGCAACTGCACCGACCAAGTTAATCGGTTGCGTCGACGCCGATCACGCTGGCGACTCCGACAACAGACGCTCGCGCACCGGCTACATCTACCGCCTCGAACCTATCGGTCCTATCTCCTGGCAGTCGAGCAAGCAGGAGTTAATCGCCCTCTCATCAGCCGAAGCAGAATACATTGCACTCTGCTCAGCCACCAAGGAAGGACTTTATCTTCGCGAGTGCTTGAAGAAGCGAAGTTAGCCGAGTTACCCAACTTCACCCTGTTCTGCGACAACCAGTCGGCAATTCGCATCGCCAACAAGAACGGCTTCGCGAACAGGACGAAACACATCGCCCTTCGTTATTTCTTTGTGAAGGACGAGATAAAGAAGGGGAGACTCGAGCTGTCATACTGCCCCACGTCCGAGATGGCAGCTGACTACTTGACCAAGAAACTCGGAAAGCAGAAGTTCGAGTATTGCATGCTGCTGACTGGACAGAGCCACGTCACCAGCAGCGACACTCCAGAAGCGAAGGGGAGTGTTGGAAACAATCAGTCTTAAGCGCCTCTGTCGTGTCGAAACACCGCACCAGAAGCGAAGTGAACCATATCGAAGCACCCGCGAGTCAACCCTCGGAGGTTGAGAGGTTGCTGGAGGTTACGCGAAAGTCAAAGGTCAGCGACCTTTGACCTGACAAGTACAGCGCGACAGCAAGGACACACAACTGACTCGCTACAGAGCAGTTGCCCGAGTCGTCACTGTATCGAACCGGAAAAGCAACAGTAAAGTAGTTATAACTGTATCTCTTCATATTCCTTGTACTCATATATAATCTTGTATCTCTTTGCTTTAATCAATCTACTTTGCCCTCACATACTAGCGCAAGGTGGTTCACAACTTCTTCATTAAACGCTTCCGCTATTACATTATTCCTACCCAGAGTTTACCCTTGCAAAAGATCCTAAGGGCTTTTCTCAGCCCAACACAGGAGCTGCGCGATAGCTGGCCAGGAGAACGGGTAGTTGCTCCTAGCGGCCATGAATTTTACAGGCCCTCCTTCGGCACCAAAGGATCCTTGCCCTCGACGGTCGAGATGGACCGTGGCCTCCCTTCCCCCAGGTGGCGGACAGCAATCGCTGTTCCCCAACACTCCTCTAAGCAGCATCCTCTGCGTCAAAGCTTTCCCCACTAGCTCCGCCACAACATACCGCACCTCCTCCAGCGCCTAAAAAAATCTCCCAGCCCTCAAGCCAAGCATATAAGAAAAGCACCATCAGTACCCTTCCCACACCAAGACTCCTCTAAGCAGCATCCTCAGCTTCCCCCACCAGCTCCGCCAGCTCATACCGCACCTCCTCCAGCGCGTCATTGATGTCCCCCACTATGCGCGCCAGCGCCTGCCTCACCTGCGCCACCGCGGCGTCATACTCTGCATCTAGGCGCGCCACCGCGCACTGCTCCTCCCACTCGCCCTCCCCGTCCTCGTCCCCATCCCCATGCCCCTCCGCACCACTGCCCGTGCCACCACCCGCAGCGTTGCTACTGCTGCTGCTGTGGCCGCACCCGCACCCGCCTGCCCTGCGTGCAGCAGTGAAGGCGGCAGCAGCGGCATCAGGTGGGATCCCCTGGAGGGGCGCAGCCATGCCTGGCAGCCCCTGGCCACCACCTGCACGCCCTGAAGGAGAGGGGTCTGCGGTAGGGCCACCTGCAGGAGCATGTGACTGGGCTTGACTTGGGATTTGAGTGGGGGCTTGTGCAGGGGCTTGGGAGGAGGCGGGGATGCTGGTTGGAACAGGGGCGTGAGGAGAGGCCAGTGAGGGAAGCGCCAGCTCGCGGGTGATGTGGGCATCAGCACCATTGGACGGTGCAATAGCGACACCCTTGTCTGTTTCTGCATCACCGTGGGACCTGAGAGTCAAGCTCTGTGTGTCCCTGTGTGCTACTCTCCGTGGGCTTTCTGCTGCTGCCTGCTGCCCGCCGCCCACACCTGCCTGCTCCTCACTGCCCTGCTGCTGCTCACCATCTTGCATCCGTACATCACTATCTGCACCACCATTGGCAGCACCATTGGCACCACCACTGGCATCGCCGTCGTGCTCACAAGCCCCTGCGCATCGCCCCTCGCTCTGCTGCCGTCCCTGCTGCTCTTCCAGTGGCTGCAGCTGCTGCAGAGGATGCGCGTGGCCTGGGTGCCGCTGAGGCAGAAAAGAGGCGATTTCAGCACGCGGGCGGTCGGACGGGCGGAGGGACTTGCGCAGCACGTGATGCACGGCCGTCTGGTGGATGGGGTGGCATGATGGGATGGGAGGCAAAAGATCGGGTTGTCACATTTGCGCATGGGACAGTGGGGATGGAAGCACGCAATTGCATCCCATCCCATCCCATCCCACCCCATCCCATCCCATCCCATCCCACCCCATCCCATCCCATCCCATCCCATCCCATCCCATCCTCCACCGAGTCTTTCTCACCAGGTGCAGCTTCTCCCGCTCCTGCTCCTGCACGCGCCGCACAACGTCCGCCAGGTCCGCGCGCCCCACGCCCTCCGCCCGCAGCTGCGCCTCCACCTCGCGCACCTGTTGGGGGGGGGGGGGGGGGGGGGGGGGAGGGCACAGGTGCGGGAAACAGCGGCAAATCGATCGGCCAGAAAGCATGGTAATGCAGCGCATCCTCGCCAGAAGGTTTGGCTGCGAACTCTAATGTGGGGTTGTGATTGAGCGACGCTTTAAGAGACTCAAACGAAGCTCGCCTGCTACTATCTGCTGGTACCTTGAGCTCGCCTGCTACTATCTGCTGGTACCTTGAGCGAGCAGCGCGTGAAGTCGGCCGTTATGCCCTGGCATGCGCGGTGGAAGGCGGAATCCGGCGAGGCTCCTGATAGGTTGTCCGCGAACGCGCTGCGGGGAAGTAGGAAGGAAGGCGAGTGACACAAACGAGGGCGAAAACATGATGAGCAGAAACTCTTGGCTCTTGCTCGCAGAGTTGCCTTTTAAAAGCAACTTGACACGGAGTCGGGTGTCTGAATAGGAAACAACGGCAAGGATTTGGTCTCGGCGACCTGAGTAAAACTAAGGACATGGAGAAGTGGTACGAGCGCATGACTCGCGATGCTAAAGACGGTGGAGCCGCACCCTTCGAAAGCGTGGTAGATCCGCGCGCGATCCGCCTGGACGCTCAGGAAATCTCGAAGCAGATCCGCGACGGACATGGCGAGACAGCTGAGTGGAGAGAACAGATTCCGAGCGATGCGAATGCGAAGCCAGCAAAAATCAACTGCTTGATTGATTCGGGCACGAACAGCTGAAATGAGCGGTGGAGGTCGACAAGGTACTGAACTGGAATGGACGACCGAGATAACGTTGTTTCCAATTTCAAGAAAATTCTGACGCTTTGGGCGGTTCAGAATGGTTTATCTGTCTACTACTATGTTGTGGTAGCTTATAGTATGTTGCAGAACGGTGATGGTCCACACCCTCTCAACTTTTTTAGGGTGTTCCACTCCCCCACCCTAGCGAGTCCTCCTGGACGAAGACCTTTTTTTCTGGGGAAACTATATCCCAGATCCTTAGTTTCAGATTTCTCTCATATTTACCCCCAGTTTTACTAAAAAAGTACAACTTTCTGGCATTTCGCTCACGCGAGGCCCAAAGTATGTTCAAAACTGGTCCTGCGGGGCAAAGTTTTTGACACGTGTCTTCTTGTTACCATCTGCGACGTCGTGCTGCGACAAAGGACCTAGTGGTTCACGGTACTGCAAGACGACTCTCAGCATTTCACGAATATCTGCGAGGAACAAAAGTAACCCGCTAAACGAACGAATTGATGATGTATCTCTAGATTTTAGGGCGTGCTCGCAACATGGCTACGAGTCATTTCCCCCAAAGGAACATATTTATTCAGTTTTTGGACGTGAAACGCCTCCATATTTGACCGTGGTCGGGATTCATGTCCTCGAAGTCACAGGCAATCTGCGGGCTGGTGTGTTGTGTCTTCGCACGGGCCCGTACACAGGCAATCCCCGAAGTCACTCTCTTCGTACGGGCCCCTAGCTCACTTCGTCAGGGTACGATTCGAAGCAGTTCAAAGAGCCCATCCACTGCGCCTCCCTCTCAGTTCTCCTGCCACCTGTCCATCCTTGCGCACAGCAGGTCCTAGGAGCTTTACACTGGTCCTTGCCGCCATTTGTCCTGTCTGAACGGACTGAACAACATCCGCCTAGCACGACAATTCTTCGTCTCCACGTCGCCTCTGTGTGCTAGTAGCCGTTTCAGGGTTTAGGGCTGGCTGGGGTGCGAGTTACTCTCCGCCGCGCATACCCTTTCCGCTCTCTCGCATGCGCGGCGCGCCATGAAGCGCGGCAGGCAGGGGGGGTCCGCGCTCCCCCCGTGGCTCGCGTACCGCCTCTCCCAACTCGCCCCTCCCGGTTCCTTCATTCACTCTTCTTACCACAGACTACGACAAAACCTCGCCTCCTCGCGCCGCTCCCAGGCCGTCGCCGTCTCCGTCCTCGCTACAGTCATTCTTTTTATCGTTATCACCCTCCTCCGATCCCGTCCCCCTGCCGACACACGGCCGATCGAGGAGCGTGAGAACTGGCGAATAGAGGCGAACCGCGCGTGTCTGCGGAAGAAGGAATGGCGGCGTCCGCTGTGTTGGCGCACGGAGGGCATCGTGTGGCACGTGCGCCAGTTCGAGATCTGGAAAGTCGTCGCGTGGGAGGCGGCAACCACCGCCGCCGCTGACGCTGCCGCAAACCCAGAAACAGCCTCCACAACCGGCGTCGGAGGAAACAGCGAAAACGGCGAAGACTCTGCATCAGCGGGTTCAGCATCACCGGCTGTAGCGGGATCGGCTGTTGCGGGCGTGCTGCCGTCGTCAGCCGTGACCGTCCCGATGAGCCAGATCGACCTGGGGATTCTCAAGAGCCCCGCGCTCGCCGCCAAATGGACGGCGGGCACAAAGCCGGCGCCGGACGGGCTGCTGCACGTGCTGGTGGACCAATTCCCGTGCGCCGCGCACGGCTGCTGCGCCATCCACTGGCAACTACGACCCAACTCCACCGACCTGCTCTCGTTAGGGAACCACTTTGTGCGATTCGAGTACTCCGCGCTGCTCAAGATTCCGATCGAGCCGAAGTATATTTTGGATGCGGGCGGGACGGGGATGGCGGCGCTGGCGTTCGCGCTGCTGTACCCCGACGCGCTGGTGGTGCGCGTGGAGCCCGAGGCGGAGAACTTCCGCGTGGGCGTCGTGAGCAGCGCGCGCGTGGGGAACATCGTGCACGTGCGCGCCGCGCTCTGGGACCGCATCGCGCCGCTCTCCCTGTGCGAATCGCAGTCGGAACTGCCCGGGGATGCTGACTGGCCGTTCGCGAATTCGAGCCGGCAGTTAGGGTTTGTGACAGAGGAAGGCGGGGAAAGCGGAGGCGCAGGGGGGGTGGGTGGCGGAGCGGGGAATGGGAAGAAGAAGAGGGTGAAGGAAGCGAAGCGGACAAGGTACCAGGAAAGTTTGGTGGGAGCCGGGCCGACATGCGAAGGCAAGGTGAGAGGGCACGTGCAGGGCAGCACGCTCACAGCAATCATGGCAGCGTATGGAATCCCGAGATTTGATTTGGTGAAGATGGATATTGAGGGGGCGGAGCGGAGGGTGTTTGCGCACAAGCCGTCGCTGAGGGTGCTGCGCGGTGTGCAGGTGTTCATAGGCGAGCTGCATGAAGGGGGAGGCGTGTGCGAGGGGTGTAAGGGAACGGTGCTGCGGAATTTTGAGCGCTGGGGAGGGTTCAAGAAGTTTGTGGATGGGCGGAATGTGCTGATGCTGAGTCGAGACCTGTTCTCATGCTAGCAAGAGGACTTGGACGTCCAAGGTGACTGTGAATGCTGCGGTAAGGCTTGGTCTCATGTTGCGACCGAGCCAAGCCAATCAACTAAAGCGGTATCTGGTGCAGCCCACTTTTGCTAGTACTGGCAGCAGATTGCCACTGCTGCGGCCACTTGTTGTGTATAAGAGAATCTCAAAATGTTCGGTTCAGAGGAGACTTGGTGCTCTCTCGTGGCAACCTGGCATCTTGCTCATGGTCATGGAGATGCCTCAATCAACAAAAATGGCAAGGTTATTCATGGTGGGCTGGACTGTCAAAATGCCGAGTAGGTGATTATACAAATAGAAAGGAGAAACACAGTTCTCAATATAAATAGTTGCAGTAGCGCGCACCCTAAACTGACTGTGGGGTAGAGGTGGTTGTGGCTGGCGAAAGTAGACGAAGCACGGCGATGACTGCTTTGGTCGCGGAATTTCGCGTGTGTGCGCGACCAGTAGGCGAAGCATTTACTGCCCGCGCAGATTGTTTCTCGTCAATCACGTGATTTCCAAGCGCAGCACCAAGAATTACTCCGTTACCAGCACACATAGATTAATTATCGGGCGCTAAGCGCTGGCGGTACATTCATGACGAATCACGACGGCGGAAACTGGGGGCGAGGGTGTTCAGCGAGGCGGGGGAAACTGGCTCGCGAGCGACAGATTCCAGCCAGCCGACGATGTACCCGTTTGGGGGGAGGACGAACGGGGTTTATTGGTGGCGAACGTTTGACAATCTCCGTTTGGCTACGGTCAACTTGTTGTGACATGAAATATGTAGAGCGCTGGCAAACGCGTTCAGCCTTTCGACCCACCGCAAAACAAGCAACCCACAACACACAACTCACTCGCGGAAGTACCGCAGTTATCGGAACGAAAGCGTGTATGAGCTCCCTGAAGCCTATTCGCCGTGTACCTCGTCGCAACCCTCCTCATCCAATAAAAATTGCCAGCCTAATCGTTTGACTAGCCACAAGCTGGCGCACCTCCCGTCATCGCCGCCCCTCGTGCCGAAACTCCTTTCGCGTTCCTCCCCCATTGTGACCAATGGCCGTCATGACGGAAGTCGCTACTCCCCTTACTACTGCCAGTAACTCATATTATTCAACACGATCGCCTAGTCCCAGTATAGAGCAAATGCACGTTGGCCTCCGGCGCGCAGCGGCGTTTTCTCCCCACCCCCCCCCCCCCCTCCCCGGGAGGAGGGCCTCCTCTCCCCAACCCCCCCTCCCTCCCCGCGCCTCCAAAACCCGGGCCGCTGTGTGCCCCTGTTGCGCCGCCATACGCGCCTCTTCTTCCGCAACCAATCGCGCTGCATTATCGGCGAGTCCGCAGCGCGGTAGTTGGACTGATTTATTGGAGAGAATTGCCGCGGCGCGGGTTTAGGTCTCGCGAATTTTTTTCATCGCGCTAAAATTTTTACACAACCCAAAAGGCACACGTCCCACCTTTTATCGCGAGCGGCGCGCGGTCCCGGCACTTTGTCTGCAAATTGGTAGTGTAGATGTAAGTGTACGGTCAGGTCCGAAGTTTTTGCCAGAAACCCAAACCAGACCCTCCAACATTGTTGGAGCCATACAAGCGTAGTACAGTGTTGCCAGGCCTACGTGTGACAGCTCGTACTTTAGGCTCGACAAGGCGCCACCAAGTCGATGGTCCTATGAGCGCCAAATGGCAGTCATTGAGACGATGTGTTAATGAGCAACGGAAACTGAGCACATCGAACGTGGACCAATAAGGTGACGTTTCGGGACGATCCGGGGTTATTCATCACGGTAAACAATGTCAGACAAGTTTCCCACCAAAAACCATGCATGCACCAGTCTGACGTCAACGCGGATGCACTGGCTGAATGTGTTATGACATTTCACAGCAACAAAATGAGCACCAATCGCAGGCAGCCGTTCATGAACAAAGCTGCCCACGTGGTACGTTTAGCCCCGTTGCCACATGTCCTCATTAACACCATGCGTGAAACGGCCAACGTGCTAATTACAACGAACCAAGTCCAATCCGCATTTTATCTACAAAGTTTATGAGCATGCCAGCTGCACGCCACCTGGCCTCCGAGGGAATCTACCAATGTGATTCTCACCATTCAGGGACACCCATGAGGGTTTGCCACCCCATGCTTGGCCCTGTGTACAACCTCGATTTGCTAAAGAACAGACCGCGAGCATGAGCGAACGAGGATAAACCAGCACACGGTTCCACGTGGACGAGAATCGGATAAAACGACGTTCGCGACGCGATATGCATCCAATCGGTGCTCGAATTGTTCAGCGTGCAATTCCCGCAAGCGAGTGCAGTTGTTGCCCGTGATTAGTCACAAGACCCCAGGCCCTCGCATTCTTATTCATTGTCATTCTTGCTCATTACCCACCGACCTGTGCTCGATGTTTGGCTTTCCGTTTCAAACAATCTCGCATTAGCAGTCCCGCTCACCGTTGTTCACAAGTTTGAGCCCTTTACTCCTTCGTTGCCGTTAGCCTGAGACTCACCCGCGTTCACCTCTAGCCACTAGAGATGCCTACGGGGCGGCCGGACGACCCAGTCGCACTTGATATCGAGGAGGATGACGACCTATTGGAAGTAGAGGCCACGTCGGATCACGGCGGAACGGCCGGAGAGGATGCTACTAAAGTCCCAAGCGGACGCCGCTCGCGTAACAGGGGCGGCCAGCACCAAAAACGTCAAAAGACGACTCGTGCAGAACAGCAACCAGCGACCGGCCCGAATACTAGGGCGCACCCGGCACGGGCCACGCCAGAACCGTATTCCTTCCAACCCCCGCCTCCCCCCCAGAAGTCGCTACCACCGGCACAGGATCTTATTGCGGACATGGCAGGGAGCATGAAGCAGCTCCCGGGCATTACCCCGGCGTGCCGAGCTAGGAAGGAACCGTCGGTCAAGAGTGGCAACTGGCCCACGAAGCTGGTTTCTAACTGGCATGGGTTCGGCACTACGTTGAACGTTGCCGACGCTCTCCACATGCAGGACGATGCACCAATCACGGACAACGCACTGGACTTCCACAACATGTAAGTCCCGCCAAGTCAATGGAGAAGTTTTATCGCTTGTCAATACTCGCGGATCTATTTTTGCAACACTGCTTCCTTCTAACGGCCGCAACACAACCCCCCTGTTCGTACCTGTACAGCATCCTGGACATCCGCCATCCGAAATTGGGCAACGGAAAAACGTGGATCGCGCTCGATGTCAAAGCTTACGACTACTGGGTGTCACAAAAGAAGCTCATCGCATGCTGCGACGACAAGGACTCCTTTTTGCGCTTCGACTATGTGGCAATTTTTGCCGCGGCTGAGTACGTGATCCAATCTCCTGCCCGTGGTTTTGCTAATGGCTAGGGCCCTCTAATCACTACCATCGTCCTCTTTTCAGGTTCCACTTCAGCTTGTTTGTTCTGGAGAACGCAAGCACTCTTGTGACATCATCAGACGGTGGTGAGGAGCTCCCCACCCCCAAGACGGGTGTACTCTCACCGGTAGGCATTGTTGTAAGTTAACTTCGGGCCATAGCAGGCCTGGATCTGCTTGGCGTAGTCCCAAGGGGCGTTAAACGGCGCTGCACGGACGAAGTTGCCGAATTTCCGCCAAAGGTACTTCCTCTTACGTCCCATACCCGGCCACCACCGGGCCCGCATGCGGCGGTCGCATGTGTGCTCTGCGGGATCGGACAGCTCCACGATTCGCCACGGTCCGTTCCGCTGGAGACGCGTGTAGCTGCACCGCCATGGACAAGGGGGGTCCAACCCAAGCTTCTGACTCTTGCACAATGCTAGCGCCGATGCCTTCCTGGTAGACTTCATGTAGAAACCGTATTTATGAGTCACCGCAGCATCAAGCAAAGCATAGAGGCAATGATCCCGCGAGGAGTACCAGTTACCCTCCTCAATGGCAGCGTTGTCATTGATAGTAGGCCCCTCTTCGGGTTCAAACTCTACGTCGAAGTTCTCCAGTATAATGTCATACATGTCACGGCCATTAGCCGGAGGTTCCTCCATCGTGTATCTGATACAACACCTAGGTTATCCCCTCGCTATATGTACATGGTCGTCTGGTAGCCTCGCTTTTTAACAGCGAGACGCCAACACATGTGTACGCCATGTAGAACTGTCTCTGGTGAGACGACTACGGTGGACTCGGAAACCCTGAAAATTCGTACAACAGCTAGGAACAACAATAATTCAGTTGACAGTCCCAGGTGCCATCTTACTGGCAGCGGCTGCCACCAGTGCGAATCGTCAGAACTCGCGGCGCCTGAATCGTGTTATGTTCGCTGGCGCGTTTATTATCAGATTCTGAACACACTGTACCCAATCACACGTCGCCTTGTGGCATGCATATGGTAAAAGTTTCGCGATGATGGCAAAATTACACGGATCGTTCAAAAACTCGCAGATCGCCCGCCAACACAACGATTCGCATGCATTCTTGCATGACGTGTCTGACGCAAGTACTTGCACGTGGAATCTAGTTCAGAACGTCAGAATCGAACCGAGTCGCCCGACAGATGAAGTTGTGTAGCGCAGGGTCCACGTTACGTTTACGTAGAACCGCGTGGCACGTTCGAAAGAATGGCTAAATAACACTCGCCAGTCTTGTTTCGCCACGTTCAACCCCACAAACCTCCATTCCCCCACAGTTCTGAACCGAAACTGATTGCCGAACCTGGACGCGCCACACATACGCCGAACCGACTTCATCAGTGTGAGGAACGAAATGCCCAATAGGATGAAACTACGTGGCAGTTAAGCTCGATGTCAACCAGCAAACTGCCCACCGACATTTTGGAACCCCCGAAAAAAAGGCCTTATGGTGTTTAAATGAAGCTAAATCCGGGGAGCGCGCGCCGCTCGCGATAAAAGGTGGGGCGTGTGCCTTTTGGGTTGTGTAAAAATTTTAGCGCGATGAAAAAAATTCGCGAGACCTAAACCCGCGCCAATTCTCTCGATTTATTGTAAGAACACCAAGTTAGATTCACCACATAAATCGACACCAGCCTCGGAGACCCCACATTCTCACACCGCTGCTCGCTCATTGCGTGCCTTCCTCTCCTCCCTCTGAGTCGCGCCTTTCTAGTTCCCACCCAATCATCTCACCTCCTCGCCACCACGAGCGACGTGATTCGCGGCGCACGAAATCGCTGAAGCAACTTGCCGTTGGGTCGCCGCTATCGTTGATTTCCGTCTCCTTATTTCCCTGGGCCGTCTCCTGTCGTCATGAAGCCCCGCGGCCAGCGGCGGTCTGCCCTTCACGTTGGGCTCGCCGCTTTTATTGCGGGTCTCGTTGCAATGAGCTTCCTCGCGACGCGCGCCAGCGCTCAAGATGGTGAGTCGCAGGCCGCACACCACTGGCAGTGGCATGCCCCCCAACTGCTTCACACTCTTGCATCCCACGCTCTTCTGTTTCACCCGCTTGCTTCGCACCCTCTCACTTGCGTGTCACCCACTTCCTTTCACCCCTTTCTCAATCCTAACCTCTTGTTTCCCACGCGCTAGCCTCTAGCTGTAGTGTACCTGGAAATGTTCTCGTCGTTCTCACATCTCTAGCCTGTGGCTGTAGCGAAATAGGAAGGGAGTCGGAGTGTGGGTGGGTGTGACGACGTCATTTAGCGAAATCACTGCACTTGTAACATCATTTTTTTACTCTACCCATGGTTTCCTGTGCAGACGCGTGTGGCAGCAAGTGTGGGACCGTTGCGGAGTGCGTTGTGGCTGCTGATGGCACTGGTGCATGTGAGTGCGTGGACGGGTCTACCTTCAACCAAGTTGACAATACATGCGACGGTGTTGTTGTGGGTGAGTGCGGGATGTGGGTGGGGGCCGGAGTGTGGGTGGGGGCCGGAGTGTGGGTGGGTGTGACGTCATTAGCAAGACTCTTCTCACCTTTTCCCCTTTCTACCTTGCATTAACCCATGATTTTCTGTGCAGATGCGTGTGGAAACAAGTGTGGGACCGTTGCGGAGTGCGTTGTGGCTGCTGATGGCACTGGTGGTGCATGCAAGTGTTTGGACAATTCTACCTTCAGTGATCTTGACAATACATGCGATGGTGTTGTGGGTGAGTGCTGGGATGTCTTGGCCGGGGGGGAGGTGGGGGGGGGGAGGGGGTGGGGAGGGGAGGAGAGGAGGGTGGCGGAGTGTGGATGTCATTGACGAAATCTCTGCTATTGTATGCAATAGCAGAGATTGGGCAGAGTGTGGATCTCTGCTATTAACCCCTTTCCCTACTCTACCATTTTGGACAACCCATGTTCTCCTGTGCAGACGCAACAGTGACTGTGCCAGCAGCAGCAGCAGCAGCAGCAGCAGCAGCAGGTTCGGGAGGTGATGTGTGCGCCAACAAGGAGTGTGGGACCGATGCTGAGTGTGTTGTGACTGATCTTGGCGCCGGTGTTTGCCAATGCTTTGACGGTTCTACCTTCAGCGATCTAGACAAGACATGTGATGGTGTTGCTGTGGGTGAGTGCTGGGATGTGGAGGAACGGAGTGTAAGTGGGTGTGACATCATTGGCAAAGTCTTTTTTGGAGTTTGCTTCCCGTGTGCTAGCTGGGATTGCGGCCGCAATGGTGGTGTCTGTCAAGTGAATGGTGATGGCGTTCCGGAGTTCGCGTGCTTCTCCTTACCCTTCTCCTCCCCTCCTTGTTCCCGCATGCCCACTGCAGACCCGTGCGCAACAGTCATGTGTGAGAAAGAGTTTCTGCCAGTGTGCATGGTGGTTGGTGGAAAGGGGGTGTGCGACTGTGGCTACGGCTATGTCATGGAGAACGGCGTCTGCATAGGTGAGCTGGACACCATACCACCAAGGCTTGCATTGGTGAGCTGGACACCATACCACCAAGGCTTGCATTGGTGAGCTGGACACCATGCCACCAAGGCTTGCATTGGTGAGCTGGACACCATACCAAGGTGCACCGTACACCCTACATAGTACACTGCATGCCCTGCCCTCTGCAGACCCGTGCTCATCAGTCATGTGTGTAAGCATATTCAGACATCTCGACATTTCCAGTCCCCGCAGCGAGCGCTGGCAAGTGAGTGGTGATGGAGTGCTGGGGATTGCACATAGAGATGAATCCCCTCGTTTAACTCCCTTTTTCTTTCTTCGCCTTGCAACAGCCAACCCATGCTCCTCTCGCAGACCCACGTACTAGATTCGATTGCGGCTGCAATCGTGGTGTGTGCCAAGTGAATGGTGATGGCGTTCCCGAGTGCGTGTGCTTCTCCTTACCCTTCTCCTCCCTCCCCATTCCTGCATGCCCACTGCAGACCCGTGCTCTAGAGTGGATTGCGGCAGCGATGGTGGTGTGTACCAAGTGAATGGTGATGGCGTTCCCGAGTGCGTGTGCTTCTATGGGTTGGACTTCGACGAGTTTGACATGTCATGCTACGGTGAGTGCTGTGCTACACAGGTGAGTGAGTGCTACGGTGAGTGAGTGCCAGTGAGTGCTGTGCTGCACAGGTGAGTGAGTGCTACGGTGAGTGAGTGCTACAGTGAGTGCTGTGCTGCACAGGTGAGTGAGTGCTACGGTGAGTGAGTGCTACAGTGAGTGCTGTGCTGCACAGGTGAGTGAGTGCTACGGTGAGTGAGTGCTACAGTGAGTGCTGTGCTGCACAGGTGAGTGAGTGCTACGGTGAGTGAGTGCTGCATTGGTGAGTTCTGCATTGGTGAGTGCTGCAGTCGTGAAGCAGAGACGATGTGTTTTGCAATAAGAAGCACATGTCACCTGGCACCATTGCGGCCTAGTGCTTTATCAACTTGTGTGCTATTCCACCAGAATTCGGACTTGCTCTATCTTCTCCTCACTCCCCGCACCTCTGCCCCTGCCTAACCCCTCCCTCTCCCTCCCTCCCTTTCCCTTCCACTCTACCACCGTCAAAATAATATTTTCAAACCGCCATCATTACCACCCAACTCTCAACGGCCACGATACGGCACCGTTGCACCAACGGTCACGATGGATGCGCAGGCCCCTTTCTTCAGACGACGGTGCAGCTGCAGCTGCAGGCGCAGGTGAATGGCCGCCAACGCAAGTATGCGGAGAACGTCAACTTCACCACTGACGTGCCGGCAGAGAGAGCCTCTGGCAGCACCGCGTGCACGGACCTGAGCTCAAACTCCAGCCTGCATGGCGACACCAAGATCACCGTCGGGTGAAGTTCGTTCGGTCTTCCTGGGGCCGGCAATGGCATGTGCAAGAGCGTTTCGTTCCACAGCAACCCGGGCTGCACGGACAAGCCCGGGCTGACGATTGAGCGTCCGGTGAAGAATGGCCGATCCTACGGCTCCACGGAAAGGTGTGAGTGTGATACACGCCCCATCATGTGGCTTTGTCTGGTGTGAGTGTCCACATCATGTGTAGCTCAGGGCGTATTCCTGGCTTCGGGTCATCCCGGCTTCATGTCATCCGAAATTTGCGGTATCCAATCGAAAAATTCGAATTTCGAACCGCGGGTTTTCCGATTGGCTACCTCAATTTTCGGATGACACAAACACCGGATGTCCCGAAGCTAGGAATACGCCCTCACTGGCTTTTTCTGGTGTGAGTGTACGGTATTTTGTCCGACAATAATCGTCACGTCATGCTAGTTTTGTCTGGTGTGCTTTTGAGTGCACAAGAGGGGAGCACAGCAATTTAATTATCAGAATTCGCTTCCCTGCTTTAGTGTGACGTGAACGGCAGGAGCGTTGTGTTTGCCTGATGTATGTTCCTCGTGTTTGCCTCTCCTTTCTCAGAATTGTCAAAGGCACGGATTTGCCGAGATCTGTTGGCTGTGAGATAAGTAAGTGCGCGCACGTGTCGTGTCACTATGTCACCTGCTTTCAATGCATACACACAACTCCAGGGTTATTTTCACCTACAATTAAATTGGGTAGTCCTTACTTACATGCACTCTTTGCCGGAATCCCTTTAAACGCCTGGACTTTTTTGTCTTGCTGTGGTGCCCACAACAGCCACGTGTCACAAGGACTGCGGAGCGGCTGAGTGCGTTGTGAAGGACGGCAAGCCGCAGTGCCGGTGCCCCTGGGGTTTTGTGTTCAATGAGGCTGAGAAGAACTGCACCATGAACCCTACACCCATAAACCCTAGTAAGTCTTTGGTTGAGTCTTTACCAACCTAGTGCAAGTGCCCCTGTGCAAGGGTTTATTGTCCACGTGCCTTCGTTTCTCTTACATGTAAATAGAAAGAGAAATGCCTCTTGTCGCCCTGGCAGGCTGATGCTTCTCTAACTGCTTTCCTCCTCTACCCATGGCAGCTGACAACCCTTGCAAGACGGGCACACTGAAGTGCGACAAGAACTCCATGTGCGTTGTGAAGAACGGGCAGGGGACGTGCCAGTGCAACGCCGGCTACACCAAGACCAACGGCCTCTGCACTGGTGAGCTCACCAGGGGGATCTGTTTCAAGGCCGGTGAGGTGATCAGGTGAAGAGGTGGAGAGACAGTCAGTCAACGGGATCACAGTGCTTGGACGTTGTAACAGTCAAGCTTGCATGCCTCTGGGTGTTGTGTGCCTTCACTTGCCCCTCCTCCTTTCAAGCACTCAACCTCAAGCCCTCTCCCCCAACGCCCACCCACATCAGCCATGTGCAAGCCGGCCTGCCCTGCTAAGGCCCAGTGCACGGTGGTGGGAGGGAAGGCGCAGTGCCGGTGCAAGGCGGGTTACACAATGGACAAGAGCAAGAGCCAGTGCACACGTAAGCAAGAGAGACAGCATATAAGCTCCTTTCTGCGATGCCCGCTTGGACGCTGCTGCAGCTCCAGTGACCCTTATCCTTGTCTTTGTCCGTGAACCACACCACGGCCCACTTAAACACGTGAACAAATCCTGTGTTTCATTCCGCCCCCCTGCTCTCATTTATGCCTTCCCTGTCAACCTCGCTAATCCTCCATTCCTCCCGTCACTCTCACCCCACCCTGTTTCATGTGGCAGCCGTGTGCTCGCCTGCCTGCCCTGCTAATGCACAATGCAAGATGGTGCAAGGAACGCCGCAGTGCCAGTGCAATTCGGGTTACAAAACGGACAAGAGCAAGAACAGATGCACTCGTAAGGAAGAAACACATGTATCCTTGCGTTCTGTCCTGCTGTCTTGAAATCTGCTACAGCTCTTGTGACCTCTATGCTTGTCCCTCTCTCTCTCTCTCTCTCTCACTCACTCTCTCTCTCTCTCTCTCTCTCTCTCTCTCTCTCTCTCTCTCTCTCTCTCTCTCTCTCTCTCTCTCTCTCTCTCTCTCGCAAATCTGTGTCCCAACCCAGCCTTCTACCCTCATGCATTCCCTCCCTGTCAACCCAGATTTTCCTCCATACCTCCCATCTACCACCCCCCTCCCCCTCCCCCCCCCCCCCTCTCCCTCTCGCGCTTTCATTTCATGTGGCAGTCATTCCGGTGTGTTCGTCTGCCTGCCCTGATAATGCCCGATGCAAGATGGTGCAAGGAACTGCGCAGTGCCAGTGCAATTCGGGTTACAAATGGACTTCAACAAGAACAAGTGCAAACGTAAGGGAGAGACACAACGTATGCTCCCCTTCCTGTCCTGTCTAGAAGTCTGCTAAACCTCGAGTGATCTTTTATGCTTGTCCCTCTCTTGTACAATCTCTCTGTCCCAACCCAACCTTATACCCTCATGCATTTCTTCCCTGTCAACCCCGCTCATCCTCCATTCCTCCCGTCTGCCCAACACTCCCCCCCATTTCATTTCATGTGGCAGTCATTCCGGTGTGTTCGTCTACCTGCCCTGATAATGCCCAGTGCAAGATGGTGCAAGGAATGCCGCTGTGCCAGTGCAAGGCAGGGTTCAAAATGGACAAGAGCAAGAACAAGTGCACACGTAAGGGAGAAAGACAAGTTTTATTCTTTGTGTAATTTTCATGCTTGCCCCCCTTCCCTCCGCCCCCTCCCCCCCCCATCCCACACTTGCCACCACCCAAGTACCCATATACAATATTTGTGTCCCATTGGTCGTATCAAACTATTTCCACTGCTGTTCCACCCCTGTTTGTCTTCGCTAATCCTCCATTCCTCCCGTCACTCGCACCCCACCCTGTTTCATGTGGCAGCCGTGTGCTCGCCTGCCTGCCCTAACAATGCCGAGTGCAAGATGGTGCAAGGAACGCCACAGTGCCAGTGCAATTTGGGTTATAAAATGGACTTCAACAAGAACAAGTGCACGCGCTGATTATGTTCGCTACAAACGGCTGGTAGACAAGCGACTGGTGGACAAGCAAAAACAAGCAACCCTAGATGGACAGACACAGGGCAAGGGGGCACTTGGTGCAGGCAGCGCTAGGAGGGATGTCAGATGTCATGGCTGACGGGCGGAGCGAGCAACTTTAATTGATTGCCTGGAGGCCAGGAATTATCTTTGGCTGACGGCTGGCTGAGTCATTTTGTGTGTATTAGAAGCTCACTTTACTAGTTGGCTTGTTGTACCGTGAAGTGTGACTATTAGCCAAGCGTGTGCTACTGTAGATGTGTGTGTGTGTGTGTGTGTGTGTGTGTGTGTGTGTGTGTGTGTGTGTGTGTGTGTGTGTATGTGTGTGTGTGTGTCTGTGTGTGTGTGTGTGTGTGTGTGTGTGTGTGTGTGTGTGTGTGTGTGCGTGCGTGCGTGCGTGCGTGCGTGCGTGCATGCGTGCGTGTGTTGTCAGAATGTTATATTCTCTAGCCTGCAGTGGGGTGCTCTATAGCGAGTACAACCCAGTTAGGGTTTGCTATTTGTATCTCAACTGCTGCTAGTGAACCTCCTCTTTCTGTTTCTAACTTTCTACTGCTAGTTCTGACATGCTATCAGAGCAGGTCGACCCCCTTGGGTCGATCCTGTGGGTGGGCCCACCACCTAATGCTTCCGCTGCTGTTCTACTTGTCGCGCGCCTCGGTCGCGCGACGCCTACCGTCATCGCCCGGATATAAGACATATATGTCTTATCTCGTACACTAGAAAAATGCTTGGGTTATCTTATAAATGGGGAGGTTTTGGGTGTCTTATAAGTCTTATAAATGGAGCCATAACCGTTTAGAAGATACCCCCTCGTTATACAATTGCCCCTAATCCTTACACTAGCTTAGCTCGTACACACAAATAGGTGTCTTATAATGAGGCTAGCCTGTTTATAAGAGACACCCGTATAATAGACAACCCCTGTCTACTATTCAACACTGTCTTATATCCGGGTGATGACGGTACTTCCTGCCGCGCGCAGAGCGCGGCGCGAATTTTTTTTTAGGGGTTTTCATCCCGCCGTGCGCTCGGGGCGCGCGGCGGTTTTCTGCCCGCCGTGCGCCCCGAGGCGCGCGGCGGTTTCCTACCGTAGGGGACCCCCGCGCGCCCCCGCCCTGTCCGTTGCGGCGCCCTGGGGGACCCGCGCGCTGCCCCCGCTGCCCCGTCGGTGGTCGCGTCGCCCCGCCACCCCGTCGCGCCGCCCTGGGGAGCCGCGCGCGACCCCTCGCTGCCCCGTCGACGGTCGCGTCGCCCCGCGGGACCCGCGCGCGATCCCCGTCGACCCTCGCGTCGCCCCCCAGAGACCCGCGAGCCGCCCCTGGAGCCGTGCGCGACCCACCCCCTGCCCCGTCGCGGCGCCCTGGGGGGCTGCGCGCGGCCCCTCGCTGCCCCATGGTGGCGCCCTGGGGGCCGCGCGCCTTCCCCCTCGCCGTCCCCGGCGCTCCTACCCCGTTCCGCCCGTTTTAGGGTTTGGGGGTGGGGAGTGTGGGGGTGGCGGTTGTGGGGGTGCCGGTTGTGTGCCCCGTCCCCTACTCCTCCTCCTCCTCCTCCTCCTCCTCCTCCTCCTCCGTCTCCCGCTGCTGCAGCTGCCGCTCAGGGGGGTGGTTGTGTGGGGAGCCGAAGGAGTGGTGCTAGGGGGGTGAAGGGGGAGTGGAGCTAGGGGTGAAGCAGTGGGTATGTGGGGGGTGTGTGGGACTATTGGGGGAGGTTGAGTGGAGGCAGCCGTCGTGTCGTCCGCAGCGCCTGTATTCCGGGACCGTTGTCTCCGGTAGCTCAGAGAGCCTGCTGCACCTGTCGCCCGTGGGTCCGTTGCTCCTGCCGCTGCTGATCAGCCGCAGAGCCTGTTACTCCTGTATTCCGGGGCACTTGCTCCCGGTAGCCACAGAGAGCCTGTGCTGCACCAGTCATCTGAGTCAGCCGCCATTGTGTCAGCCGCTCCTGTTGCCCGTGTGACTGCAGCTTCAGACGTCGTCTCCCATCTTCTCTCCCCTCACGGTCCTTCCTCCTCCTCACTTGCTATCTGTGACCGCCTCTAGCTTTGCTCATAACTTATGAACTATTGCTGTGACTGCTCATTGTGCTGATTGCACCCCACTTTGGCTATGGGGGTGTGTCAGAATGTTATATTCTCTAGCCTGCAGTGGGGTGCTCTATAGCGAGTACAACCCAGTTAGGGTTTGCTATTTGTATCTCAACTGCTGCTAGTGAACCTCCTCTTTCTGTTTCTAACTTTCTATTGCTAGTTCTGACATGTGTGCGTGCGTGCGTGTGTGCGTGCGTGTGTGTGTGTGTGTGTGTGTGTTTGTGTGTGCTCGTTTGTGTGCTCATGTATTTCCGTGGGCGTTGTACATTTGAAACGAAGTGGAGCCAAGTCAATGTTTTTAGCAGGCGTATCTGACTTTTTACTCTGATTCACAGTTCATACAGACTTATTACTCTGATTTTGGAACCTAGGCTGAACTCAAAGTTTTCATATTTTTTTGGGTTGCGAAGCAACCTATTGCAATCCACCTAAAGGGAATTTTTTTTTTTTTCACAAAATTTAAAATTATCTGAAAAAAAAAATGTAAAATAACTGGAAAACGCTTGTTTAGGGTACTAATAAACTTCACAATGTTCTCACATCGTACTTATAGGTAGCATTCTGGTTATTTGCTGGTTATTTTTACTCTAAATCGTTCTTTTGTAACGTGCATGATTCAAAAAATGGAAAAATTCTAAGCGTTTATCGCTTTCAAATTTGTGTATTGTGAAAGCGAAGCTGACTGTAACGCAATTTTGAGCATCGTCGAAGCGCGCTATTCGCCTTCCGAATATATAATGTGTGTTGGGGTCATTCTTCCCCCACCCACGTCTCTCATTTTACAATCGCTCAAGTTCAATTCCCAGTTCCGGGACCCATCCCGATTTTTTCGGAGGCTCTTACTCCCGATTTTTTCGAACCTCAACCTGGCGAGGGTGAAATCCCTTCCACGCTTTCAAGCACCCTCTACCCTGCTGTCGGATATTCTTAACTACAATCAAGCTTCGATGGAGCTGAGCGACAACGCCCCGAATCGTTCGGACAACGAGAAGAATACCCGTGAAATTACGGGAGATCGCCGCAATAAGCAGCGGGCGGACGACGAGGGTAACGCGCCCAATGGTGTCGACCTTTTGACGCGCAGTGGCGAAGTCAACAAAACCGCCAACCAGCATCACCCCTCGGCACCTGTGGCGCTAGTGGCGCCTGTGGCGCCTGTGGCGCAAGTGGCGACGGCGGCACCTGCAGCACCTATGGCGCCACACGCGCTTGACGCCGAGCACACGCCAGCACCTGTGGCTGGACCGTCGCGTCAGCGCCAGAGGCGCCGAACTGGGTCTTCGTCTGACGCGACGGCTGACCCTGTTTTGACCCCGGCGCTGACTGCTGACCAAGTCCAAGCACTTTTGGCGCTGTTAGAGCAGCAGCCGCCGGCGGTTACGGCTACAAGCGACAACA